TTCTTCTTTTTTTCCTTCCTTCCTTCTACCTGTCTTTCATCTTTCGTTTGTTTTGTCTTTTCCTCCATTCGATCGTCTTTCCCTTCCTTTTCCCTACGTTACCTAATTACGATAATGATGATGATGATAATGTTGAGATGATAATGATTATGATCACGATATGGTAATGATAATGATAATAATGATATAATGATAACAAATAATATAATAATAAATAATAATAATAATAATAATAATAATAATAATAATAATAATTAATAATGATAATGATAATGAATATGTGATATAGATGAGGATAATAAGAATAAATAATATAGGATAATGGTAATGATAATAACAAAAGCATGATAGTAACTGGAAAGATGACAATACTGACAATTAAAATAACCACAATAATAATAACAATAAATATAAAGATAAAAATGACAATGATTACACTATCACAATCTTACAATTATCTCATCACCGTCCATATACCATTTACGCATATCATTATTAGTGCAACAGTTAATTACCACTTTAATAACAACAACAAGGAAAAGAATAATACTGAGTAATTTTCTCAAGCTGGTTGTCTGTGTCTGGCTGCCATCTTGTGTTACCTGGCAAAGCAATTAATTCAGCTTAATTTTTACAACCTAACTTCAGTCTTAATCTAAAGTAACAAACGTCTAATTAGTATACTATCGATTCTACACACACACACACACACACACAAACAAACACACATCTCTCTCTCTCTCTCTCTCTCTCTCTCTCTCTCTCTCTCTCTCTCTCTCTCTCTCTCTCTCTCTCTCTCTCTCTCTCTCTCTCTCTCTCTCTCTCTCTCTCTCTCTCTCTCTATCTATCTGATGTATAATAATGTGCAGTGACAGACAAAAGTCTTTTAATGAACTGAAACTTCGAAGCGGTCCCACTCTATACAAAAAGTGTGGTATGAAGCCTATGTTCGAAACCGAATTCGAAACAAGTTTGACAAGAGTTTTGACCGTCACTGTATATCCTTTATAATGTAGATTGTCTTTATGTTTTACTGGTGTTCGACTAATGAGAATTACTCGTTTTTATCGATGCTTTGTTCCAGTTGTTGGTGAGTTAGCCTAGCATTTAGCTCAGATCAGTCTGAGGCAAAAACGGTTTCTGTTTAGTTTCGTCAGAATTGTGGCGTTTTTTTTAGATTTTTTTTTTTTTTTTTTTTTTTTGTCTTAACTCAACAAATTTATTAAGATTTCTTTTTAAGATACTTTTTTATTCACAAAAAGAAATAAAATAGAAGAAAAATCATAAATTTACCTTTTTATTCTAGTTAATTACTTATCTTTTTAAACGTTATCATCAATGTTCAGATTCAAGTCTTTGCAGTCTACAGTCCAAATGGATTTCAACCTTAAAGGATACCTGGTGTGTCTGTTCTATTTTTTTTTTTTCTTTCTTTCTTTCTTCCTTTATTTCTTTTTCTTTCTTTTTTCTTTCCTTTTTTTGGTTGGCGATGTATTTTCTCTAGAGCCCTTTTTTAGCAGTTTCAGTGTTTGGTTACATGGCGTGCTGTGTAATGGGTTATTGTCCTCACTCTATAGTTCCATGTACTTGTACCCTCTTGAAAAGCTGTGGTAGCTTACATTGATGATAATGATAATGATGACGATGAGAATGATGATGATAATGATGACGATGAGAATGATGATGATAATGATGACAATGAGAATGATGATGATAATGATGATGGTGATGATGGGAATGATGAGAATGCTGATGATGATGATGGGAATGATGATAATTATATTATAATCATATCTATAATTATACTGATGATGATAATGACGATGAATAAACATCAGATAAGAAATGGGGTACACTGTCAAGAAGTTCAAAGAGAGAAAAAACATCTTAGAACAAGACACACGAGATGGAAGTTCTGAATTAGTATGCAAAGACAGCCTAACAACATTCAAAGCCACATGTTGCCGACTTTATTCCCATGGATACGCCCCTTCGCTAGAGGGGAGTGGGCGTCAGAGATAAAAGGAAGACGCGGAGAGAGAGAGAGAGAAAGGAAGGGAGGGAGGAGTAGGTAGGGGAAGGGGAGGGAGTGAGGGAGTAGGTAGGGGGAGGGGGAGGGAGGGAGGGGGTAGATAGGGGGAGGGAGGGAGGGAGTCGATAGGGGGAGGGAGGGAGGGAGAAAGGGAGAAAAGGAACAGATTTAGAGAGTGCGAGAATGGGAGAAAGGAAAGGAGTGAGATAGAGAAAAGGAGAGATGGAAAGAGAGAGGGAGAGAGGCAGGAAAAGAGGGAGAGACATAGTGGGAAAGGGGAAAAAGGGAGAAGGGGAACATTAAGAGAGAGAGAGAGAGAGAGAGAATGGAAGAAAGGAAAGGAGGGAGATAGAGAAAAGGAGAGATGGAAGAGAGAGAGAGGTGGAGGGAGAGAAGGTAAAGGCAAAATGTTAATAAGTCTTCGTCTTGGACACATGGGTATCGCAAAGGGACGGTCGGGGTCGTCATATCTCGCTGATATTATTTTGACGAAAAAGAATCAAGAAGTCTTTTGATTTTCGGTAAAATATATCTATATGTCTGTGTGTATGTGTGTGTGTGTGGGGGGGGGTGCACATATATTTCACTATCTCCAAGGTTGAATATTTAAGAAGCAAATCACTGCTTGCTTAGAAAACACTTGCTTGATACCTTAAAAAGCATAAACATTGTTATGATACTATGAATATTTTGCAAGAGGCATGTTGCGGTAAAGCTTCAGGTGTGATAAGTATAAATTGTTTTTACATAGCTTGTATGTAGCTTAATTGTCATACTTGATATACATTTTCAGATTTTTAGACAATCATCGGTTACTTACAAGTTCTAGAAATAGGTTTATAGAAGCTTAATAAACCCGCTATGCTCAAGAGAAGGAAAGGGAGGTCTGACAAGATTTAAATTGGTAGTGTTTAATCTTCAATACATTGTATCTAATAAGTAGTGAAAAGTGAAATGGTGATATACATATCGATATTTCTTATAGATCTCTCTAAACGTAATGTTATAATCATGGATACTACACCCCTTTCTTCCGTTAAGAAAGGGAAAGAGAAAGAGAGAGGATTGCCTTGGAAAGCTGTGGTCGTTTCAGTGACTATCTGCTACAGCTGCTTCACTGTATGTAGTAGGTAGAGAGATTGGAAAATCTCTCTCTACCTACTACATACAGTGAAAACCATTTCTATAGATATTCTGTTTACTATCAGTATGGTGTTGGGTAAGGTGGGTTACCTTATCAGAGTGGATACGACTATTGTTACTGGCTTTGTCTTGTTGTATGCCATCAAAAACTGCCCTAGAATCAGGCTCCCTTTGTGATGTGCGGGTCAGGGTTCTGGTCGTGACAAGAGCCTCTGTCTGTAGCAGAAGTATTTACTCTTCTTTCTCGTCAAAGTTATATGACCTTGACCGAACGCTAATCCCATAGCAGGGGTGGGACGTATTCAAGCTGGGGCATCAGTACCCAGGCTGCACGGAAAGGTCAGCAGTGATTTCATATAGTCTCGTAATAAGCGTCCAGAGTGTCTCGGCGCTCTCCACATCATCAATTCAGGAGTCTAGAAGAAGGAAATTTGTTCCATACGGAGGTTGAAAATCATCGACGACGAAAGGGCACGCAACATTATCCTGGTACACTTTGGATCAGCCTGGTCACGGTGGCATTTAGACAACAGAGCAATGACATGGCAGCAGTCAAGCATGAGCTGGTTGGAGCTCTTTCGCTTCTGTGTCATTTTATGAGTAAAGTCAGTCTCAGCTTCACCAATTCTATGAAGTGTCATCCCGGAGTAAACGCTCCAACCGCGGTGTTCAATCGAGAAAAGTTATTTGCTGCCAGGGCGAGCGCGGCCTTGCGGAGGTGTCGCGTCGTGGGAAGTGGGTCTCAGGGGCAAGGTCAGTCGATTGACCTGATCGGCCACAGATCGTATCATATGTACACCATGTATGTACGTGTGTGTAAACATTCATACACACACGATATGAATGGCTGATCGTTATTGCGTGTGTATGTATATATATATATATATATATATATATATATATATATATATATATATATATTATATATATATATATATATATATGTGTGTGTGTGTGTGTGTGTGTGTGTGTGTGTGTGTGTGTGTGTATATATATATATATATACATATATATATATATATATATATATATATATATATATATATATATATATATATATATATATATATATATATATAATATATAATATACGCGGTGTGTGTATGTGTGTATGTGTGAGTGAGTATGTGTGTGTTTCTTTGTGTGTGTGTAATTGTGCATATATACATACCTTCCAGGTTAAAATTGGATTATATGTTTATATAGGTGTGTACTTTTACATTCGAATTAGTTGCTTTTAAATTCTTCTTGACAAAGATAAGAAACACAGGTTCTGTCTTTTTCACACAAATGAAGAAGAAAAAAGAAACACGTACATATCCGGTATTTCTCAAACCCCCCCGCCCCTCTCTCCCAGGGTGCCTAGGGGCGGGGGGGGGGGGTGCAAGAGCCCCATGACTCCCCGGCTGCGTCTCCTCGCCAGGTGGAGCGTAAAGAAATCGATTTGGTAGACGTGAAGAGTGCCTCTGGTCTCGCCCTCTCTGGTCTCCGCCGTCTCTCTCCGTCGCTCTCGTGGCCTCCTGGCTCTCGGCCTCCGTCGCTCTCTCGGCTCTCCGTCGCTCTCTGGGGCTCTGTCGCTCTCTTGCCTTGGCTGGTTCTCTCGTGGCCTCTCGTCGCTCTCTGGCCTGTCGCTTCGTGGCCTCCGTCGCTCTCTGGCCTCTCGCTCTCGCGTCCTCTCTGGCATCCGTCGCTCTTCCTCTGGCCTCCCGTCGCTCTCTAGCCTCCGTTCCGTCTCCTTGGCCTCCGTCGCTCTCCTGCCTCCGCGCTCTCTTGGCCTCCGTCGCTCCCTCATGGCCTCCCGTCCGCTCTTGGCCTCCCGTCGCTCTCATGGCCCTCCCGTCGCTCTCCTCCTTGGCCTCCGCGCCTCCTTGGCCTCCGTCGCTCTCTTGGCCTCCGTCGCTCTCGCTTGGCTCCGTCGCTCTTCTGGGCCTCCGGTGCGCTCTCTCCTCTCTGGCCTCCGTCGCTCTCCCTGGCCTCCGTGCTCTCCTTGGCCTCCGTCGTCTCTCCCTTGGCCTCCGGTCGCTCTCTTTGGCCTCCGTCCGCTCTCCTTTGGCCTCCGTCGTTCTCCATTGGCCTCGCGTCGCTCCTCCTGGCCTCCGTCGAGCTTCTCCCTGGCCTCCCGTCGCTCCTGGCCTCCGTCGCTCTCTTGGGCCTCCGTCGCTCTCCTTGGCCTCCGTCGCTCTCCTCGGCCTCCGTCGCTCTCTTGGCCCCTCCGTGCGCTCTCTTGCCTCCGTCGCCTCCTGGCCTCCGTCGCTCCGTTCTGGCTCCGTCGCTCTCTGGCCTCCGTCGATCTCTGGCCCTCCCTCGCTCTCTTGGCCTTCCTCATCTCGCTGGTCCATCCGTCGCTCCTCTGGCCTATCCGTCGCTCTCTTGGCCTCCGTCCGCTCTCTGGCCTCACGTCCCGCTCCTCTGGCTCCGTCGGTCTCTTTGCCTCCGTCGCTACTCTTTGCCCTCGGTCGCTCTCCTGGCCTCCGTCCGCTCTCTTGGCCGTCTCGTCGATCCTCCTTGCTCCGTCGTCTTCATGGCCTGTCCGTCGCTCTCTTGGCCTCCGTCGGCCTCCTTGGCCTCCGCGCTCTCTGGCCTCCGGTCGCTCTCTGGCCTCCACGGTCGCTCTCTCCTTGGCCTCCGTCGCTCTCAT